TCCATTGATCTCACGGGTGTCAGAAATATTTGAGTGTAAAAGTTTTCTCTCATGGAGTTGGAAGCGGAACAATCAACGCCAAATTATTCAAACGACAGTGGTTCTCTTATTAGCAATGCAGCACCTTCTTTTATCTATTTGTGTTTATCGAGCTCGCCTTTAGACGGGATCACCTCTTGTTCTTCTTTATTTGCAATTCCCCAACTAGATCCAACATCGTACTCAGTTATCTGAAAGATGACAGATTATCCCAACTCGATTTCCCAGGTAAATCCTTTTCTGAAATATCCTAAAATTCATCAATATCTTCAAAGACTGGATTGTCAGAATTGAAGTTTTCTGGTGAGGGACACAACTCTGCAATGTCGTCTCCTGGCATCAAATCATCAATTTCTTCACCTAGACAGGCAGTGCTTGCTTCTTCTCCATATGCAGTGCTCACCATATGAAGAAAATTGTTGACATCAACTCCACCCGCTTGATTAAATTCCGCCTGGCAAAGAAGAGAAATCAAAGGATATGTAAACTATTCCAGCTGCTGATAAAAGAAAGAAAAAACATATTTCTCTTATACAGGAAAAAAAGTGAGTTCTATTAGAGTTAGTTACACAGCAAAGTCCAGTTAAAAGAGCTTAGCATAATATTACCTGAACAGCTTTATCGAAAGCACAAGAAATTCCTAGCAATTCCTGGATTTATTTAATGCCGTATGGGATAGAACGCCTAGTATCAATTAAATGCAAGACGGGAAGACAAGAGTCAATGACTATCCTCCATGCATCTCCACTTTGCTTGATTGCTGATTTATTCAATGGACCAAAATCCCAATTAAGCCACATAATCTTTGCTGACAAATGTAGACACAAATAAGCACTATAACACAATTAAGGTAGGGAAAAGCAAGCACGTAACAAAATGCACAAGCCAATGTCATATGGGGCATCAGTTTGCTTGCACGTCACCCATGTGTGTGTGTGTGTTAACTTAAAACACCTGATATCATATTGATCATGTGTTGAGCAATCATATCTCATACAAAATCAAATTAGTCATTCGGGGAAGAAATTGATAAGCATAAAGCTAGTGGATGACCTGCATTCTAGGATTCTGGAAATCATCCATAGCTCCAGCAAGGGCAGGAAGCACCTGCTTATGATAATTAATCCTTGCCAAAATGAGTTCAAGACCATTCCCACCACATGGAATCTTGTCTTTAACTTCACCTGAGAAATAACAAGAACATATTATCAAATATCATACATGTATATGACTTAGAATTATGTCGTTGGTTTGAATTCTTACCTGGCGGTGGATGTGGGAATTTGAACTTTGGTTTGTCGACAGCATCTTTAAGCACTCATGCATCATGTGCTGACCCTTCCCAACCAGTTAATATGTACGTGAACTTCATATCGAAGGAACATGCTGCAACCAGTTAATAATCAGAAAATGATGCATCTGTAATTGTATATAACTAGAAGTAGGTCCCTCAAATAGGAAATATAACACAGTTAAGGTAGGGAAAGAACATACTAATCATCAACTCCACTGCAGTATCTTTAAGACTGTCTTCTAGTTGATTAGGACGCCAAATATGCAGCTTGTTCTCGGCAATATTTAAACTCATTTCTGAAAATAGCCTTGCAAAGTAGTATTTCCTGGAGAGCACAAATTACAAACCCACATCATCAAGAACATCCACATCATGCATTCCCCAAAACCAAAGTCCAACTATACTCAAACAAAGCAAGAACGTAACAAAACTCACTAGCCAAAAGTTAATTACCTTAACTAATTCCCAACAAGAGTTGCTGGTTGGACTAGAGTCAGAAAACGTGGAAGTAAAGAAACTACCCCATTAAGCTTCCGATTCAATAGCTATATAGCAACGAATGTGATTAACACCAAACTACAGGATCTGTGAAATGTTGCTCTTGCTCAGTTTTTTTCTTTTTTTAAGAAAAATAAGAAATGAGGCTCTATTACATAAGATCATTCCTATCTATCCCAAAATCCATCCCTCAAGCATATGCACCAAACATACCACTAACCATGTAATGACGTTCTAATAGTGATTTTACCAGCTCAAAAGATCAATGAAAGTTCAAAAGTCATTTTCTCTACTCTCTTGACTCACTAAAAATCAAGCACTTAAACTCGAGAATTTTCTCAGCTGACATGCATTAACATCCATCTTACCACAAGGTTTAGCACGTGCAAAAAGAAACTCTGGAAGTCATTTCTTAGTAACCAAGACAGCAAAAATCGACTCAAACCAAACATTTTGAAATCATACTCAGACAAATTTGCAAAAATTTTAACCCAAATATCAACGTGACAAAAATCACTCTTACGCATGAATATGCTCACCACCCCCAACCAAAATCAGACAGTGTCCTCAGTGTCAAAAATTAGGAAAAATAGAGAAAGAAGACACCTGGACGATGAGCTTCCCACTTATGAGCACAGCCTGAGCTTCCTGATATGATTCTCCAAAAACACACATAAAAAAAAATACAAAGAAAAACAAAAAAAAACCAAAATATGGTACTGAAGATGTGAGCAAACTACTCAGGGCTGGTAAACGGGGTCGTCGAGAATGATCTCTTCAACCTGGTTCACCCGCTCTAAGTAATTTTTCAGACGTTGGCCATTTACTTTGAATAATCTCTCATCGGTCGGGTCTTCAACCTCGACAGCACCATTGGGAAAAATGCGTTTCACTACGAACGGGCCAGTCCACCGCGACCTCAACTTACCGGGGTGGAGATGCAAACGGGAATCACATAGATGAACCCGCTGATTCGGCTCGAAATTCTTCCTCAGGATCTGCTTATCATGAGCCGCTTTCATTTTTGCCTTGTAGATCCTGGAATTATCATAGGCATCGTTCCTTAAATCCTTGATTTCGGAAAGCTGGAGCTTCCGATTGACACCTACAGCGCTGAGATCGAAGTTAAGGGCCTTGGTAGCCCAATAAGCCTTATGTTCAAGCTCTACAGGTAGATGACAGGCTTTTTCAAAGATAAGCCTGTAGGGAGACATCCCAAGTTGGATTTTGTAAGCAGTGTGGTATGCCCAAAGTGCGTCCGGAAGGCGCAGAGACCAATCCTTGCGATCGGGATTAACCGTCTTTTCTAGAATTTGCTTAATCTCCCTATTGGCCAACTCAGCTTGGCCATTTGTCTGTGGGTGATAGGCAGTTGAAACTTTATGAACCACACCGTACTTACGCATCAGAGCCTCAAAAGAACGGTTGCAGAAATGGGTGCCTTGATCACTGATGATGGCA